AAATCAATCCCATATTTTGTAAAAAATAGAAGATGTATACATATATATTTGAAGAGTTGTTTTACTTTTCTGTTCAAACAGTCAGCCACATTACAAAGCTTAGTATACATCTTCTATTTTTTACAAAATATGGGATTGATTTTTGGATATGAGTGTAAAAAAAAAAAAAAAAATGCAAAGCCTACATGATGAGTTTATTTACCTTCTGTTAACTTATGATACAGTGGATTTATATGCCTCATACTTAAAAAGATAAATGAAGAAAAATATAGAAAGAATAGAGTCAGATGAATGTTTGAAAATTCTTTAGTATTAAAAAAGAATATGAATTAATGATGTTTACTCCTCAAGGAGAGAGACGGGAGAGGCTCATGAGGGTTGTTTTTTTTGTTTATTTTTTTCATATCACAACATTTAAAAAAAAAAATTTTAATAATAATGAATTTAATGGTGAAGTTAAAAAATATAATTTTCTTGTTTTTTGCCCTCGACATATGGCTCACTTAGTATAATGGTTAGTACATCACGTTGTGGCCGTGATAATCCCAGTTCGATTCTGGGAGTGAGCATTTTTTTGTAGATTTTTTACCTTTTTTTTTTTTACTGAGTGCTTTTAGAATTGTGAAAAGCAAAGGTAAGGTTAAAGTAAAACATACCAATTGAAAAAACGGAAATTAAACTTTTTTTTTAAATGCTTACCCCACAAATGAATGTTTGCAGGAAAAATTTGACAGCTTTATTCTTAGTACAAGTTACTTGTTCATTTGTATAATTTAACACAACAGATTCCTTTGTATTTCACATTTGTAATAACGTTCGAAACTTAAAAATAAACCCTAAAATTTACATAAAAAAATTTAAAAAAAAAAATGAAATTTAAAAAACATTTTTAAATCAAATAAGGATGACTCCATTGTCTTGGAAATTCTTCTCTTCGGTTTTCTAATTGGCCTCCTCCATCATCGATCACACGGTATCCATAGTCCTGTACCGCCGTCTCATATTTTTCATCATCCTCTTCGTCTACCTCTTCATCTATTTCCAAAAAATCTGTTTCGGATGGTTCTACTTCTTCTTGTTCAATGTAAGGTCGATCCGAATCTATAAACAAAGGTTGCGTTTCATCGATGGTTAAACTTCTGAACCTTCGATAGACCCCAAACCTTAATAAGAGACGTTCCAATTGAGTACGTCGATGTGTATCTAAATGGGCTAACACATGATCGGCCTTACTCCAATGTTCTTTGGTACCTTTCCACGTGCGTTGTATATCTATGATCACATCTTTGATTCCCATTGCATCCCTTAAAGCATCCATGACATAAAGCCGAGGAGACGGTGGGTAATCCATGTAATTGAAGGCTGCTTGATACAAACTTGCACACATAGACATTTCAATACATAATAATCCTGATTGTAGGGCATGTGCAAAATGAGAAGGTTCAACATGGTCCGGATAAAGATGAAGAATCGGAATCAGCATCGATAATAACAGTTCTTGATAAAAAGTAAACATTAAAGTGAATTTAATACAAAGGAATTTCGGTAATGGTCTGGGAGAAGAAAGAATAAAAGGAAATATATTGATTTATTTAAATAGAAACGGAAATGGAATCAATTTTTATTTAAGTGAAAAAAAAAAAAAAGTTCAAAGTAAGCATTGGCTCAATGTCCAAACGCAAAAATAAAATTAAAAAAGGGGTCAAAACGACTTTGAAAATGAAAATATAAAATATATGGAAATGAAAATGAAAAGATGGTGGATATCTACCGATAATGAGCTAATATATCTTTACTGGCGAAGAATAATACAAGTAAGCAATACATGCTCCAAGATACACTTAAGTTATAAAACAGTGAGACCCAAAGATAGGTCGAAGTCATACTGATTTCACTATGTTCATAATTCTTTGTTCTGGCTAAAATTAACGTCAATAAAGCAAAGATGGGTTTTAATAAAACAAACTGAAGTATACCTCTAAATAGATCAAAAAAAAAAAAAAAAGACAATAACCATGAAAAATGTGAAAATAGTCATGCTACGAAATAGAAGAATTAAAAACAAATTAACGTAGACCAGAGAAAGCAAAATATTTAAAAAAAAAAAAAAAAATTGTAATAATAATAATAACAAAGAAAGAAAGAAACACAGTGAGGGTGTGAGTGGAAGAAAGAGAAAGAAATGTACTTTTTCATGGTAGAAACAACTTGAGGTCTAGAAACATCCCATTGAGGTAAAAGTAACGAGAAAGGGAACACATGAATCACAGGAGGTCGAGATTTTAATTTAGCTAGTAATTGTCTTTCTCCACCCAAATAAGCAATCAATAGATTAAAAAACACATAAAGTATAACGGCTTCATATAATCCACGAATAGCATCAAGGTAGTCTGCCAAGTGTTGATTATGTAAAGAAATCAAGGAGGCAACAGCATAAAGGGGGACACTAAATACATTATTCGTTGTAAGTTGTATACATACAGAAAAGAGGAAAAAAAAAAAAAAAAAAAAGACAGAAAAAGTTAAAGTTAAATGAGCATATTATACATTGTTTAAATACGCTTCATCTTATGAAGCCACAAACCAAGACAAATAACGCAAGAGATATGTATATATGTGGATCCAGAGGGAGAGAGAAAAAGAGAAAGAGAAAAGAAGTTCTAAAGCATTACGTACATCCACAAAATACGAATGATAGCTCGCTGGATCCAAGGTCTTCGATAATGTTTTAAATGACCCCAAATTGTTGAAAGTGTAATAAAACAAGCAATGAAAGTAGAAATCAAAGCTGAATAATAAAAAAATGTGCTGAGGTAATTCCATCCAGAAGGTGGGGAAGGTGGAGCAGAAGAACGCTTAAGAATGAAGGGAACATCCGAAGGTAAAGGGTTAGATGAATTAAGATTTGATAAAAGAGAATTTAGTCGATGTGCCATACAGACTAATTTTTAAACGGTTGCAGAAAAGTAGAAAAAAAAAAAAAGGGAATTTTTACTTTTACTTTTATTCAGAAAGAAATGGTCGAGAATTTAAAAAAAAAAAAAAAATACT